TTATACATTAACATATTTGTTTTATTTTTAGGTTTTATTTATTTTACAAAATTTTTAAGAAATAGAATATTACTTCTTTCAGAATTTCATGTATTTTTTCATATTCATCCCCATCCCCCCACTCCTCCCTGATCTACTCTCCCCAGTCTCACCTTCTTACCCTCGGAACCGTGAGCGCCATTGCCGCTCCCCCTCCCCGTCCTTCTTTAAACACATCTAGTCCTCTTTGTGCTGCCCTTATATGATTGGCACTGGTGCTTTCCCTGGAGTGTGGCTGACTAGTCATGGATAACACCATGAAATAAAACTGACTGTCTTGCCCTAGAACCTATGTAATACCCGTAGCTCCTCAGCCCGTGGTGGGATTTCTGTGCCCACCTCCCTCCCTCTCATGCCATGCTGGCACTTTGTCCGGCTTGAGCATTTGAAGGTGCTGTGTATGCAGTAATAACCACCATGGGTTCATATGTGCATCTGCCTTGCGTGTCCAGTAAATACTGTTAGTTTAGAAATTCTCTGTTTTCCACTATTCTGATTGCTTTCATAAGACTCCCGGTGGCAAGGGCCACGTTTATAGTCAAGACGGCAGATTTCAAGAAAGACAATTTTCTCTGGGGACTATTCACGGACCCTTCATTTTCAACTTAATTTCTGCCAATTCACCAAGGGACAGCTTCATCCATCTCCACTGCATGTTTGCTAAGTAGCTCTTATGGACAACCACCTCCAGGATGAAGGTTGTCTGCTGTGTATCACTCTGTGAAGCAGTTCAGGTTGATCTCAGCTTCAGAACAATAAAGATAATAATAACACGCACTTTCCCTGTGTCCTGCTCCACTGTCTGATACCGACTGCTGCAAATTATTTTATGTGATTATCCCCTTGATTATGTCTTTGTGTGTGGTGGCGAAATTAGTTTTTGTGATTGCTAACTAATGTGAGAAGTTCCAGGCCACTCTGGGCGGTGCAACCCTTGGTATGTCAGACCTGTGTTGGATGATAAGTCAGGCTAAACATGAGTCTAAAGAAAGAAGCCGGTAAGCACCAGTACTCCATGGTGTCAGGTCTCCAGTCCCTGCCTCGCCTTCCCTGGAGTAAGCCAAATAAACCATTTCCTCCCCAAGCTGCTTTTGGCCAGGATGTTTATCACAGCAATAGAACGTGAACTAGAACAGGGATTTCACATTTGAACCAGAACATGCTTCTTCACTAATTTTTGCCTTCTCCTTGTCTGCTTCTTTGCCTGTGAGACCAGTTTTGTCTGTGTAGCTACAGTTCTTAAAATAGGGCTGGGCCCATTCTTGGGATATTAATTTTTTTGCAAATTAATTAATTAAAATAAGTACTTTCAGATACATTTAATGAAGTTAAAATTTTCAAAGCACTTTTATGATAGTACCTAACTTTTTACTTTCAATGCCTCCTAAAATCCTGGACTCTACATTAATATGTGCCAGATGAATAATCAACAGATTGGCTTGTGTATGAGCTAGTAGGTCATAGCAAGGAAATACTGCACTACACTCATCTGTGGGGCCTAATAATAACTGCCGTCACTTTAAAATTTAATGCAGTTAGTTCCATGTGCAATCCCTGCCTTTATTGGCATTTAAATCTATAAGCTCTCACACATAATCCTGAAAATTAATGCAATGTAATAAGCTTAAGATCTGTCAAGGAATCAGAGTGAAAAGGTGTGAGAAACTGTAATTCACCGCGTTACATATTGATTTCGTCATTTCTGACCCAGGGACATAGAATCAATGTTGGCGATGTTAGTTGATGAGGAGTGGTGGGGGCTAAACGAGCTTGCTGCGTGTGTATTCACAGCTGATGAGTAAAACAGAGGGATCCACTGTGAGTTCCATCTCTGCTGAAGATGAGTAAACCTGAGTGCATATGACTGAAACATTGTCCCAGGCAGGCAGCGGCTTCTCTAAGCCCGGGGGATTTCACTGCATATATTTATATTTCAGACAACTGCAACTGAAAACACTTGGACCCAGGCAGCACTACAGAGGCAGCCAGGCCATAAATGACAAAATGGCCGTTTCAGAGAAGCCTCACTCAAGGAACAGTGGGGTTTGATAAGCACAGAGAAAGCGGCCCCAGTCACCAGGCATTCCATTAGGTTGCTAAGGCTAGAGTGGAGAGAACCCTGTCTCTCTGTTGGTTTTGCAATCATGCAAGGGAGAAGAAACATAAGCAGGTATTCAAGGAGAGAAAAATTGTTAAGTGTGCTATTTTCACAGCTGGCCTGAGCACATCATGTATTAGAGAGGAATTTCAGAGCGTTGGGGGAGGTATTCCTGCAGGCTAGAAAATGTCAGCAAGTGGTTGTTTGTGTGTCCTGCTTCCTCTCTCCATTCAGCAAATATTCAGAGCTCCTGCTGGGATATAGAAAGGACAGAAGTCAGATCTGGGTTCGGGTAACCTTGTTTGGCTAAAATGCATGTTATCATTATCAATCAGACTGCTGTTGGGAGCTACGGTGAAGGGCATTTGCTGTGTGGCTCGAACCCACCACTTGGCAGAGTCCAGACAGTTCTCTGCCATACAGGACGCCAGTAGTGCTGTTATCACAGATGCTTATTCAGGAAGGTGCCTAGCATCTGGGGCCATAGGAACGCAGTTTAAGAAAACGGTTCCTTCAAGTCCTTTCGTATGCGTATGTATTTTTAGCAAAGGGCAACAAAAAGGTGTTCAGTGTTCAAATTAAGCAATTTACTTACTTCCAAAGATCTTTATTAATTAATCTGCTGGGGTTTGGGAGAAATCTAGCTTGACTGATATAAAAAGGTAAAAGCAAAGAAGCATTGCTAATATACTAACCATAATGGTAAATTCGTAACCAAGATTAATGGTTAAGAATATTCCTTTCTAATGACTGGGCATATACTGCCAGGTAAAGGACCCCTTTTAACACAGGATCCTGGAAAAGCATAAAAAAAAACCCTGGAAAATTGGAAACTAGAAACTGGAGCTTTACAATATACCTAGATTTGGGGGTCCAATGGAGGTTAGAGCCAACTTAGCCATATACCAATGATGCAACACCTGGGTAGTTAGGTAGTCTATTATATGACTTTTCCCAGGACCTCAGTATCAAATGTCTATTTACCCCAGAAAGCACATCAGTGAAAGCCAAAGAAACAGTTCCACCCAGGTCTAGCTTACTGACCAGCGAGTTTGGCGTGGTTTCAAAGAGTAACAGAGGGCACAGGTAACTTCTACGAGTCTGGACAAATCAAAGGCAGCCATAGCACAAAAAGGCTTCCCACATGGAAGCTGTTTCCTTGGAGTTCCTAGCATGACCTGCGGGCAGCTCAGTCAGCTGAAGTCTCTTCTCCCAACACACTGCTGTTTGCATAGCCTTGAAGACGGGTTTTGTGAATCCTGTCCATTTCAGGAGTTTCCTGAGACTTGTTATGTTTACTTATTTCCTGGGCCTGGAGGACTGTTTACTCCCTGAGTCTTAAAGACCTCCCTTTCCACCCAGGGGAGAAATGATTCAATCTGGAGGAAGCAGTGATTCATCACAATCTCTCTTAAAGCCTTGGGTTCCTGTTTTTAAAATGTTGTGGACAGTAGCAACTAGCAACTGTTAACCCTCCATGGGCAGCCATGATGAACAGGTGCTTTAGTTACCTCTCATAGTGGAAAACAGTCTTCCCAGGCGAGGGTTGTTAGTACCCAGATTTCTCAGATGAGGACACTGAAGCACCCCTTGTTCCAGGATATATGAAATCCCGCTGCACCACAGAGCCATGTAAGCGTAAATGCCCCGTAGTGGTGGCAGGTTGTGCTTTTTCATCTTCCAGATTTCTCTGGGCCAGCAAAGGAGACTAACTTTTCTCAGGATGCTCAATTCTTCTGGCCAAAAGAGGGGCAAGAGCACAGGCCACTAAACTTTGGTTTACTGATATGTAACATTGAACCTGGGCTTCTCATTGCTTACAATGTCTGAAAATCAAACTCACGTTACACACTATGATGTAATTTTTATTTCATCTCTCCAAATCTTCATCTGGCCCCTAGGGTGTTTTGCCCTTATTTTATATCATCTATTAATGCTGACTTCAATCTGTTTAGTGCACTCAATACCCTCCTTCTTGTTTCCCTCGCTGGTGAGCGTGACTCCTTTCTCCCTTGCTCTCCCCCATGGTCTTGGTACAATTCTAATTCACCTGTATCACTAAACCACAGAAATGTGTCACCTCATATCAATATTTGCTAGATCATCTCTCTCTCTCTCTCTCTCTCTCTCTCTCTCTCTCTCTCTCTCTCTCTTTCTCTCTCTCTCTCTATCTCTGTCCCTAACCATCATTTTCTGTACCTTTCCTCCTCTCCTCTCTGGCTTTCAAATTCTGCAAGAATGTGGCCATCTATAACCTGGAAGATGACAGACCCTACCATGAGTTGATCACATGGCACGACACCCTGATCTTAGGTTTCAAGCCTCCAGAAACAAAGATAAATACTTTTCTTTATTTAAGAAACCTAGCCTATAATGCAGACACTCAGTTTATAATAGGGTTACAGCCTCATGAACTCATCATGAATAGAAGTTCTCTTAAGTCAAAGATAGTTTGGATACACTTTAGTCAAGCAAACAGCATAGCTAGCAATGGAGTATATCGTAGAGTTCTGGCTTCTGACGATGGCTGCTGGGGAGAGAGAACATCACTAGCCTGGGATTACATCAGACTCAAAATTACAAATCCAGTTTCCATGTAACACCTGGAAAAATGGTTTATTATTTTTCAACCACTGGAAAGTCAAGAAGTTGTTGATTGAACAATGGTCTGTATTCTGATAAGGCACTCCTACATGATGAGCAGAGTGAAGAAGGTGTCTAACCTGGTCTTCCCACCAAGCTTACCAGAATCTGGAAGATAATTGCCATTTTTATTTTGTCTATTTTTAAACATGATGTTTTGCTGATTATTTGGAAATTTCACAGGATGCACCATGATCACACTCATTTTTTGTCCTCCCAGGTCCATCTCCCCACCCTTGTGACTTCTGCCCCACACAGTAAAATAAAATAAAAAGAGAAGAAGAAGAAAATACCAAGTCTCCTTGGTATTTCCCATATACTCACTGGAGCACGGTCAAACTTCCAGTGGCCAGCCCCTTGAAGAAAACTAAGTCCTTCCCCATGGCCCTGCCAAAAGTCATCAGCGATGGAGAACTATACATCAGCATCTTTATCACAATGTGTAAGGTCTCCCTTTAATGACTTCCTGTCTAGACTGTTTCTTTTTGTGGGTAGGGGTGAGGAGGAGAGATTGTCACAGAAGCCTTCAACGTCTCTCATTCTCAACTGTGAATCTACAGTCAATGATACTATGCAAAAGACGCTTAAGCCCTTTATAGTCGGCAGCAGTATGGCTCATGGACATCCTTCTTGCCTACAGCATCAGCATGAACCAGGGACCTCAGTCTGATTCTTCAGTGGCAGTATAGACCACAGATATTAATATGGCCCTCATCTGCAACCCGGCCCTTGATCGCAGCATAAACCACCAACACCATTATGGACCTCGGAGGCAGCACAGGGCGTGTACATCAACATGGCCACCAAAGGCAGCACAGCCCATGGATGTCCCCCTGTCCTTTTGTAGTACCATGACCCATAAACATGGCATCCAGCAGCAATACAGACCATGGATATTAGGCATCAGTGCAGTCTGGAGCAGCAGACTGGAACACAGATACCAGCATGTCCCCCACTGACCACAGATACCAACATGGCCTCCAGGGACAGCACAGACCATGGAGGTCTTTGAAGAGGTCTAGTCCAGAAAACACACCATTCTCCATCTCTGACATCTTGTTGCTCAAGCCAGGGCAGAAGCTTATTCTTTAGGTGTGATGAGGTCGCAGATCAAGAGACAATGGCCATCGAAGAAAGCAGATATTGGAAGTATAGCTCAGCAGTAGAGCACTTGCCTAGGATGCATAAGGCAAGTTCAATCCCAGCACTAGTGGTGAAAAGAGAATGAGTATTTCTGTGCTGGGATGAGTATCTGATGTATTTAAGTTTGTCTTCCATGCCTCTGATTCAGAGCTCAGTACATGTGTGCCTGTATGTGTGATATGGTAGTCATTTATTAAAAGAGACAAATATATTGACAGCAACCTTAGAAAACAAATCTCCACCATAAATGTTGGAATCAGTGAGGGTACAGGTTGATAAGTCTGTGTGAGGTGGATTTGTTATCTGATTCAGTTGGACTCAATAAAGTAAAACTGTAAGATTTTGTAAATCTTGTAAAACTGCAAGATTTCTGTAAAGAATTCTTCATTCCTTCCTCTATGTGATGCTTTCAGTGCTGTTCAGTAAATACAGAGCAGATATACCTGGATATTAGAGACAGGCATACCGAAACAGAGACAGATAGGTTCCCAAGACGTCACAGGCAGGCACAGAGTCAGATTCCTAGAACAGAGAGATTACCCATAGGAGATGGCAGAAGACACGGGGAGAGAGAAGCAGAGACTTCAAATCTGGGCTTGCTCTTGGTAGTGCTTTGATTTCTTTTCCTAAACATGACACTGACACATTTTGGGTGCTCTGAGGTTATTACCAACGCATTTAACCAACACAAAATGTATATGCAATTCAAATGTCAATGTTCATAAAGTTTCTGTCGACCCAGAGCCACCTCATTAAGTCCCAGCTCTTGCTGATTCTGCACTGCCACAGCAATGCTCACCTGCTCAGACACAGATACATTACCTGAAATGCCGAAAGTGCTTGCATTCTAACCCTTTAGAGAAAATGCTTGTCAGCCCTCATATTGTATCATTAATACAGAGCGAGGGTATTTGCATACTAGATGTCACAAATCCTAGAGGCTTCTAATGGGCACTGAGTGATGACCGTTATTGGAAGCCAGAACACAGCAGGCTTAGGAGATGGAGGATAACAGAGGAAGAGATAACATCAGGAAAATAGCCTCTGCATCAAATGTAAAACATCAAGTTTTCTACTGATGAAATTGAACAAATAAATAGAAAACTGTGAATTAAGATAATCATCCAGCTGTTCTGAGGGCCAGCTCAAATCATGTATTCTTCATATTTCAAAGTTCAAGTGCAGATCCATATGAGTGTGTGGTATTATTTCTACTGATCACAAGTATGCTTAGGAAGTTGGGTGCACATCACAGACTCATAAGATGAAGAGTGGTACCTCCCTGTGGAGACAAAGTGTTCCAAGATAGCCGAGGAAGTTAGATAGAGCAGCAGCCAAGGCCAGAAACCAACCCTACCCTCCACCCCGACTCTTCCACCTCACCCCCCACCTCACTCCCCCCCAACAAGTACAGTCAAATGAGAAGCATTCAAGGGCAGCTGCACTGGATGTTCCCTGCCTCCAGCCTGGGAAAAGGACCAGCCATCTGCTGGTCAGCAGGCACTTGTCCATCTCTGACATGGAATCATTTACCACCAGATGTTGCAGGTCATTCGCTCAGGAAATGCTTACTTAGCACCTTTCATGGGAAGAAGACTCTGTATTACAGTCACTGGGAAAGAAGACAGAAAGACAGAATTGTGGTCTCTATTTTCCAAATGTGTAAACATCATGGGGAGGTAAATTATCAATGATAAGAAACAGAAACTGAGAAATTCTGTAAACAACTTATAGAACCATTCAGAAAAGAAAGCTGAAATTCAGCCCAAGGAGTCAGGAGCCCACCACCCACCCCCTGCTGCCACTTCCACCACCAGAGGAGGCAGGAGAAAGGGCATCATGAGTGGGGACTCTAGCAAGCTCAGCGTAGGCCGGTGGACAGGCACACTCTAAAGAAGAAATTAGGCTGAAATACATGAGAATGATGCCGGGGGTGGGGATGAAGCTGGAGATAAAGACAGACAGGGAAGGCAGACCTTGGGATTAAGGAGGTTTCTACAGGATGCAAGCTTTGTCCATTTTACAATGAGTATATTCAACGTATTCACATAAAGATGAAGGATAATAAATTGATATTTATGTCAAAGCACCCAACAGCAGAAGACAGAGCTGGATAGTCACAAAAGAAACAGAAAAGGCAGATGGTATCTGGCAGCAAAGAAGTGAGCAGTTTTAAACAGTGTACGTCTTTACCCTAAAGATAAAAAAAAAAGAATATTTCTTGTTGAAATTAGGAGCAGCGGCAGGGCTGCGTCCCTGGTACCCGGCCGCCCTCATGGCTAGCTTATGCCCGAAATAATTACACGGAAACTGTATTCTTTCAAACACTGCCTGGCCCGGCTAGGTCCAGTTTCTTATTGGCTAGCTCTTACATATTGTTCTAACCCATTTCTAATATTCTGTGTAGCCCACAAGCTGGCTTACCAGAGAGGATCTTAACCTGCGTCTGTCTGGAGCGGGAGAATCATGGCGACTCCTCCTCTAACCTTCTTTCTCCCAGAATTCTCTTCTGTATACTCCGCCTACCTAATTTTCTATCCAATAAAATGGGCCAAGGCAGTTTCTTTATTAGTAAGAAATCATTCCCACATCATTTCCCCTTTTTCCGTTTAAACAAAAAAGAAAGGCTTTAACTTTAGCATAGTAAAATTACATATAACAAAACAGTTATCAAGTAAGAATTACAGTTACAATATTTATATCTATTTTATCTCTTATCATAACTAAGGAAAACTATAACTATT